TTTATATTTATATCATCTATACGATATTCGAATATTTGTTTTTAGATATTTCACCTAGCTATCTTCCAAATATCAGCTTTTTATATTAAAAAATTTCGACCAGTGTAATATTATTTTTTCAAGTTATAAATTTTGAGATATACATAGACATAGTTGAACACACATCTACCATCAAAGCATATATTTTGCTTTCTCTCTCTAACACTAGTAAAATATCTAAAGTATTAATTAAAGTTATATATCTAAATTGTGTTAATCTAAAATAGAAATACTTTTAAATTTAATCTATGAAAAAAAATCACATTAATGCCCAGAAAATGATAGTTCTCTTCAAAAGTCTTATACGTGGGCACTATAGAATCACATCTACATTATAGGGTTTGGACTAGAGCCTGGTGGGAAACAAGTATAAAAATAAAAACTAAAATGAAGAATCTTGTAATACCTTATCATTTATATATGTATATTGCGTGTGAGCTTAATGGTAAAATCTTTATTGTTATAGTTGTACCTAATAATAAAAATTCTGAAGCCAGTTTTTAGTGTACTTGTGATACAATTGGAACAGATAATATTGAATCAAGTCCATCAACAGCAATTAGTATATGCTACCAAAGTACTTTTAAAACAAAAACTGAGTATTCTGGTTTGGCTGTAATGGGATTCTAGAATGAGAATATTATTCAACAGTTGATCAATGATGTAGTATTTTTTCTAATATTTGTTCATATAGAAAAGCTTGCTGTGGTAATAACAAATGTTAGTGATCTAGATGAAGATAGATTGCATGAAATCGGTGCTAGATTTACTTCTTCATTCACTACATATTATTATTAACAACATCATCTTTTTACCTTAAAAATTGAAAATCAACAATGCATTTTAGAAATTTATTTAGAATCAGAGTGTATTAATACAATTACAGGTGAAACCTCGAATGAAACTTGGAAAAAATTAGAAATTCTCTAAAAATATACTGGAACATATCTCTTCGTACTTATGAACTTATTAGTTCATGAACATATAAGCAAATTGAGAAGTAAATCACCAACATGTGCAGTTAACAACAGGAAGAATATGCAATAGCTAGAAAAAGTATTTTCTCGCCATGTAAAATCACATAAGATTCTCAACACAATGATTAATTGGCAATCTCTTTTTTATAACTTGTGCAATCAAAAAAGCACTGTCATTCAATTTCCATATATATTACAAAACATTTACCCAACTGAATATGAGTTTCAAGATAAAGAGTTACGAGCATGGCGAGCGATGTTTTTTGCTTGTGAGTGTATTAATATAACACTTGTTTCAAAAAAAGAATTATTCATAGAATTTTGGAGCAAAGTATCAAATCCTACTGCAGACAGGGAGTTGTTAAAAAGTTTTTATGAAAATAATCTTATGCAATTAAATAAAAAAATTTCAGCACCAGTACCAGAACCACAACCAAATCTGCAAGATATAACATTCTGGGATATCTTTAGAGAAACCTTGCTTTTAAACAAAAGAGGGTCAGATGGTAAAATTCGTTATTGCCCTGAAGTTTAAATACCGTGTTCTCAAAAAAGAATTAGCAGTAAGTAATAATAATAATATACAAACTTTTGATAAAACCATCTTCATTAGATTTCAACAGTTTCAGATAAATTGAATTTGAAATTTTTTTCTAAGTTGTAATTTTAACATTAATCATAATAATATTTTATATTCATTAGGTTGGATCAGAAACAATAAGCAAGGCTAGAAAATATGCTCTACTTTATGGTTCAGGCGTACCGCCTTTACATAAATCTATAAGGACCATTCATCGATTATCTGATGTTTAAGAAAATCAATTTTTATTATTTTTTCAAGATAAAGATAATGTTAAAATGAGTTCATACCATGTGGATCCAAAAACAGAATTGCCAATTCTATATTTAAGTGATAATAAAAGTGAATTATGGAAGAAGTTTAGTGAAACTTATCCAAATAGTATGAAAAGAAATAATTTTATAGCACGACTGAGTAATTCTACAAATCTTAAATACCGTGAGAACCTTGGTGGTATGTATAATTTGCAATGATTATA